GGGGCAATATTCGGCCCACCTAGGGATGCCAAAAGCTGCTACAGAACAACAGGGGCCCCTCCCAAGGACGGAATACTAATATCTACTGGGCTCTTCTGTCCGCCACCAATTGGAAAGACATCTCTCAATGCCAGAGATTTGTGAAAAGGAAACGAAATGTTTATTTAATGCTACTTAGGGTTAATATCTCCACTAAAATATCAAAGTCCTTTAGGGTATACACCCCCACACACACGCACACAGCTCTCTCTTCTCCCACTGTCCTAACTCTGGGTACCATAAATCAGGAAAAGAGCACACGTCCCTTTTTCGGGCCGCTGGCATCATCAGCTGTGTCACCGTGCAGGATCTCCAGTTAATCCAAAGTCATGTGGTACCCTCTCATGGCCCACTGGCAAAAGTTCTTTGTACCCAGTTCCTGGCAAAGTAAAGTTTCTCCTGCTTTCCAGGCCATGTGGCCAAAGGGGTCACCCCAAAGCCGCGTGGGCCTCTTCTACCAAAGCTACAGGGGTCAGCACTCTGACCAAAAGCATGTGGCTTTCTTCTTCACCTGGCTGCAGAGGTCCCCATTCTGGCAAAGCCAAGTGGTACTCTTTCACTCTGCTGAAACCGTGTGGCTCTCCCTTTCATCTGGCTGCCAGGTTCTACACTCTGGCCAAAACCACATGGTTCTCCCTCCTCTTCACCTTGGCAAGAGGGGGTCTTAACTCTGCTGAAATCATGTGGCTCTCTCTTCAATGGCTGCCGAGTCTGGGTTTAAATCTCCGCACCCATCCTCCTTTGCAGCCCCATTTCCGACTCCTCCTACAATCAGTTACACCTGCCAGGACTCTCATACCCTCCCAGCTTTACTGGGCTGCCATCATTAGTCTGGGCAGATATGGCACCATGGCATGGAGCCAATCAATTCCAACCTCTCACGCAGGCACTGTAACTGAGGGGACCAGCCCCCAGTTACATCCTGGGTAGAAGCCACTCCCTTCTTCCTGGCTCAAAGCAAGGCCACAGCTTTTAAACATATCTATGAAACCAGTTAAAGGTCATAGATATGTTAAATGACCATTCTAGAGGTTAGCTGCAAAATTGTGGCTATACAAAACAGCCCTGCATGTTCCTGCTTTATGTGTCCCTTCCCCCAACTCACACCTGTGGGGGAAGGGGTGAGGACATCTTTTATGTCTCTCCAATATTTCTATACACTTTGAGCTTTTGGATACCATTCCAAATCTTTTTTTTTGCCTCCCCCCACCGGCTGCACCCTGTATCAATATCACCATGGACATGTGGATTGAGTGAGTCCCCTAAAGAACAGAAAAGGCATGACAGTAATAGCTCATTGGTGCAAGAACCAACAGATACTAAATGTCCCCCAAATGTAAAATTAGGACAAGTAGTGCTGAAATAGAGCAGAATTGCACCTATTTCAAGTCGTACTTTGCGATGGAAAACAAAAACATTTTGCACCTACTATTGTTCAGGCACCTAATGTTATGAGAACACAGGAGCTTATTCTTTGATTTTACCTAGTAAACATTTTCCAGAAGGCTCAAGGAGCATTTGCTTTGCTCTCAAATGAAGGTCAGCCACTCTACTGTCACTTCAGCCACCACACCGGCTTCCAAGAGGTCCCCTGCCAATCAGACACCCAAGTTGGCAGTTTTCTACTTGAACTCTCCAAATAACAAATGTGGTAAGATTGGCTTTTTCAGATAGCAGCTGCATCTTTCTTCTCTTCCCTTCGCTTCCTTTCAGACTCAGCAGTTTTCCTTTTTGCTCCAGATAAATTGCTGTTAATTTAAATGTACTGCAGATCCTTGCCATTTTATGGCTGATTGCTTCTGAGTAATAGTAGGAAAATGTGGGCACGTTTGAATGTAAATACATTTTAATGAGTCGGAAGCCAATGATAAAGAAAGCACAGTGCTTCTTCAGTGACCTTCAGCACCCTCAGCTCTTCCCTTTGAAGAGGTCAGTGAGCAGATCTGAAATCAGCAAATAGCAGGGACTGAGTTTTAGAATACATCCGGATTTTTCTTCTCTGCTTTCAACTTCACCTCATGTTTTCAGACAGCATCTCCTTTATCTCATTCTGATTTAGCTCAGCTAGTGGAAGCAGCGGTGACAAAGTTTCTCCAAGGTTGTTTTTGATAAAGGAGCTGTTCTCACAATAAGCACCATGCACCATCGGAATGCTGCAAATGCTTCAGAATGTCACATTGTCAAAATAGCTATATTTCAGGCTCAGAAGCTAGACAGCTCGTTTGGCTGCTAAACCCACAAGATGTTCAGCCATTTGTTGTGGTCTAAAAACTTTCCCCCTCACCAGCAGAAAATAATTATCTATTGTTTTATATCATTCTGTGTCCCCTTTCTTGAGTTTTCTTATAACGTAAGAGGGCAAAAGTTATGAGATCCTGGTAGGTAGATGGGGGCCCTGATTGAATTTTACTGCTGACCCCTGAGAAATAGGAAGCATTGGGTACATTTCCTTATAAAAGGATCAAATATTTAAATCAAACTCATTTATCAATACATGGTGGTGTATCTTCAGTGCCTGACAGTATGTGGAAATCAAAGGTATGGAGAGGAGGCTGACGTGCCTTCCTTGAGCTGCAGGGCGGGGGTAATGACAGTTTGCATGCAGATACTGCCCATTGCTTCTGTGTGTAACAGGATGGTTTTCCCCATAAGGAAGATATTGCCTGTGTTTTTATGGTGGCTTCGCTCATTTTTTACCGCAAGGGCACATGGAGCTAAGGGATGCTTCTTTGAGAAGGCTGCATCACAAAAGGCAAAGCAGAAGGAAGTTGAAGAGGAATACCTGACATCAATTTAAATAGGGGCCCATGCCCCTTGTGCCCTGAGTGAATGGCAGTCCCAAAGAGCTTGCATTTAGCAAAGCAGATTGTTTCCCAACTGTAATATTAAAGAGCCTGGAGGAGCACTGGGGAGGAAATTGTCAAATAGAAGCAAAGGAAAAGTGGCCTGGCTCCTGCTATAAACACACTGACATCAGTAAACTCTTAGAGTTTGTGTGCCAAACGCCAAGAATCTAGTATATTGCATCAACAAATCTTTTTCGTTTGGGGGTGATGTCTTCTATTTGTATCACCAAGTTTCTCCTGTTTTTATTGGCAAACTTGACATCCCCACATTAATCCTATTGTTTCAGTGGAAAGGGATTTGAGAATCACCCTTTTAAAACCTGATGAAATAATTGAAGGGTTTGGTTGGTTAATTTGGCATGATTGTCCTACAAGCCATAGTGCCCTCAAAACTAGTGCAGCTTATGTATGTCTGTCTGGAGGCTGAACTTTTAAAAAGACAGTAGGAAGAGTTATGAATGAAGGAGAATTAATCAGTGCCCCTATGCACCTCCTAAGTTCTTAGTGCTTTGTGGGTGTTCAAATCCATAAACCATGTTTGACGTCCATACTGAGTCCTCTTCCTGAGACTAGGAAGGGCAGGAGACAGAAATGCCATGAAAATGAAGCTCTGTAATGCTATCGTAAATGATGATGCAGATTGGTGGTGGTAATTACAGCTCTGGAGGCAGATGCCACCAGCACTTGGCAGACCAGACACCAGGTTGAGGGAGACCGAGAGTCTGGAGGGGTTGTTTAGAAGTGCCTTCCAAAGCTGAACTTGAAAACGTCTTGGCGGTTTCTACCATGACATCATCTATTTTGTCACTTATGAATCTGATGAAGATTCATGCAAATTACACACAGAATTATATGGAATGGGGGAATCTTCCCTGTTCCTGCTGGGTTTTTACGGGCAAACCTGGAAGAGAGTTTGTCCTCCCTGTGCATGTCCTCCCTGCACAGGGACATGGCACTGTGGCCACAGAATCCAAGTTCCTGGCTCGGAATCTGAGCTCCATCACATACCAGTGTTGGACTTGAAACAGGCTACTTCACTCTCTGGGCCTCAGCTTTCTCACCAGTAAAGAGGAAGCAATAATAGAACCTTTTTTAATAGAGTGATTATGAAATTAAACGAGCTACTTTGGACATAGAACTTAGAAGAGAGCTTGGCACACAACTAGATTAGCTGGTATTTATTGTTGTGAGTTGTTTGCTCAGCTTTCGCCAGCTGTGGGGCAGTGAAATACTTGAGGTCGAGGAACTTTATTTTCTTTATTTTTGTGTCATCTATTACAGTGTCTGTGATTTGGCCTGTACTCAGTAAATGTTTGTAGAATTATTACATACTAAGTATTACATATAATGTGTTTTGTATATATTATATGTAATAATGCATACACATAAGCTATATATCTTATTTATGATATTTAAAATATATACAACATACTACATGTCATGTGTTATATATCATATGTGACATAATGGATATTACATCTCTCTATATGTGTGTGTCACATATATGCTGTGGTGCTTGATTCGGTTTAGGTAATTAATTAATCATTTATTGACTATTAGGATTCCTGAAAAAGAATCTGAATCTCTGTGTGGTTCAGTAATTCACCCGATAAGTGCAGCCAGTTCTCTGGTTCGGTTGTTGAGTAATGTATCATTTACTTTAGAAATAACTTGATTAAATTAGATGGGGAAAGAGAATTAGGATTATGGTTGATATTTCTTGTTGAGTTTTATTGGTTTTCCCTATACATGAAAATTCTCCAGGGGTCGTCTTGATTATTCACAGATTTCTCCTACTTAAAATATGAATGTAATATGTGATACTGTTGTGGGTGGAGCTGAGGGCAGAATTCTTTGTTTCTTTCCCATGTCCCATGTGCCATGCAAAATTGGTTTTGAGTTTGAAGCAAAGTTGCTCAGTAATGAGATGCACATTTTCTCCCCACTTCTTTCTTGTTATTACATATCACTTTATGTTTCAAAGCATATTCCATGTTGTGTCTTAATTTGGATGTTTATTTATTATGTTCTTTTAAAAGTGATTGTACTTGCATGTGAATTTCTGTTGGTTTTTCTTTTCAGCATGACTTACATTTCATTTTGTGTTTCTTTTAGGTTTTGTTTTGTTTCATAAGATCCCCCTGGATGGGTAGCTGAAATAAAGGAAAAGACAGAGGAAGGGGCTGTGGTGCATGTTGGTTGATGCTGCCTTGTAAGCTGGACTCTTGGGACAGGCCTCGGCTTCTCCCGGAAGTCTGCTTACCTGGGGTTTTCTGGTGGAGGTGGGTGGTGTTTGCAGGAGGTGCTGGGTGAAGCCTGCAGATCGAGAGCTGTGATTGGGGAACACCAGAGCCGAGGCCGCTCACGGGCAGCAACGCAGAGACACAAGAAAACATCTTAAATTAATGCTTCTCTTTTGTTCGTACAATCGTTCAAATACAGAATTGAATTGAAATTCCACTGGATTGTGCTTCTCTTCTGAGAGATGTGCTGTTTGACCATACTGGAAATATATTTGATTTTTATTGTTTCTGTTTATTAAAGATGAACTACAAAGTTAAAAAATCTAAATTAGGGACAGGTATACGTGGGTGCACACTAGCTTGTAATTGAAACAGTAACTGTAAACTGTACACTGAGATTACTAGACTGTAATCTCCATGTAACCAGTATTTTAGCATCCTGTTCTATTGTTTAATCAGCACGGAACTGAGAAGGTCTAATTTTCTCATCTACAGTACAACAGCTAAAAGAGCATATAGAGTGTCACTGTGGGGACTTGGTGATGTCACAAGAGGTTCTTTTCTTCCTCATAATAAAGGTCCAGAGCCATGCAATCGATGGCTCCTTAGTGACCTCCTTAAAGTTTCCTTAAAGACTTTCTTAAACACAAAAAAAGAAGCAGCAGCAGCTATTTGGTTGGGGGCTGTAGATTGATGTTAGGTGTAGTTGGTTTCAGAATAACTAGAGGAGTGAAATATATGCATATGGTGCATATGTCCTTTCATTTGCCCTCTGCAGTTCATCTGCGTTTTAGAAGTTTGTCGAGTGATAAGGCCACAGCCTCTCATGCTGTTCCCATAACAGAACTGCAGCTTTTCTACTCTGAAAAGGCCTGCACGCAGAATGGCTGGCCTGCTGTGAGCAGGAGTTGATATTGTAAGTAGGCTAGTTTCCCTACCACATACTACACTACCACCAGGTTTTCACGGGCAGGACAGCTCTTCTGACCCCAGCAGCACAGTGGGGGCAGGTTGCTAATGAATCTGTGCTTTCTATTGTCCAGCTTCATTGCTGAGAGGGCAGCCTTACAGACACAGAATTCTGCATCCCCGCCTTGGTCTTACCATGGACCCCTGTTTCACTCACTTGGCCATGGCAATGACCTTTGTACACTCTGCTCAGTCTGCACCAGGTAGGATCCCTGTCAGAGGACAGGTCTGGCTGCCCTACCCCACCTCACCTCACACCCTTCTTGTTAAGGGGACTTCAGAGCCAGGCCTGGAGCATGTCCTTTGAAAATACAATCAGCTCTGTACAGCATAGGGAATATAATTAATAATGCAATAACTATGTATGGCACTAGGTGGGTACTGGAAATACTGAGGGGAACACTTCGTAAAGTATATGATTGTCTAACCATTATGCTGTACACCTGAAACCAGTACAAAATAATATTGAAAGTAAAAAAAAAAAAGACATGTGCAAAGACTCCATGGATTAATTGGAAAGTTACTGACTTAAAAATTTTTTTTAAATAGTTACACAAATTTTACAGTTCAGCTTTAAGGATGCATAGATTTTTTAACTGGTCTATCATGTTCGGAAATGTTTTGAATCCTTTGTAACCAAGGTATTAAGCTTAATAAACCAGAATCCACTTAGGTACCACTTGCTATTAAAAAGATTGTTCATGATGAATATTTTAAACTCTGTCTCTTACCTTAGCCACTAACTATGGTATTATTGCCTGATGCCGACATTACACAGAGTCTTATGGATTACAGCATTTCACGTGGCTATTCCATACCCAGGTCTGAAAGGGGCAGTTTCTCCAAAGCGTGAACAGGTTCCTCATTTTCAAAAGTTCTTCTTTCTTTTCACCAGAAGGACATTTGAGTGTTAGGGCAGCTGGTCCTTAGTGTGGGGAGGTCTGAATATTATCTGGATTTCCATTTTCTTGCTTGCTGCTAAATGACAGTTCCTGTCACTACTTAGATGCTGATCTTTCCCGAAGGTGTTGATTTACAAAGAGGCCAGCTAATTGCAGAAATCCTGAACCCTGGAAGAAAAATGAAATTCAAACTGGAAGCCAAGCAGAGGCTGTCAGGACAGCTCGGGTTCTTAAATATCAGCCATTTGGTAATTTTTAAAAAGCTTTTATGTTATCCATGGAGCCATAAAAAAGGGGATGAATTGTTTAAGGCCTATTTTTAAAGTTTCCCAGACCCAAAAGGAAAAAAGAAAGGATATTTGTACTCAACAGCTGGAAGAATGGCAGGGTAGATATTTGTTTTAAAATGGAGAGAAGGGGACAGATAAGGCAATTTAATATATCAAACCACAGTTGACATCTCCTAGGGAACCAGGAAAACAGCAGGCTATCAGGGAATTGTTTCATTCGGTTCTTGAGTTCCTTACTTTTTATTTTTTTAAATCCCTGGAGACCACAATCAGTGTCATAGCTTCTCAAGTCTGTACTCTAGCCCATCCCCTTTCCTCCTTTTGCTTTCTTTGTCCCTGTAAGAAATCCTTTTCGAACTTCCTAGTGACAGGTATCACATATTTCTGCAGCATCAGTAAAGGACAGGCAGTGTTTTCGCTGAAATCGCGTTTGTCGCCGGAAGTGAGGACCGGGCACTTCCGTACCAGGCAGGTACCCTAAATGAACAAGGTGCCCCGGGTGGGTGTCCATCCAGAGCGGCAGCTCTCAGGCAGCCCCAGCCAACTCCTGCCTCCTGGGAGTGTGGGCCCAGGTGTCCAAATCTTCTGATTCCTTATGAGATACCTAAAACCTGGACTCTTCGGTGGAATGTCCCTATTTTTAAAAAGTTGACTCAGTTATTTTTAAAATGTTATGGAGGCCAGCAAAACATTTCTGTGGACTGCCAGTTTGTTACTTTTGTCTTAAAGCAAGATCATTGTTCTCTCCATGTTTCCTTCTGTCTTTCCTTTGCCAACACCTTCCCAGCATTGCCATGGAGAGCTTTATCTCCATTGAATCTGGCACCTCCAGGATCTGCAGCATGTCACGTACCTTTGGGGCTCTCCTATGCCTTCCACCCAATACTGAGCTGGGCTCTCTCTCCCTGCCTGGGACTCCCTTGCATCAGTGTGTGCCCTTTACCCCCTAATTGGCCCCACTTCCATGTGGCCAGAGGCAATCCAATGAGTCCTTCCTCCTGTTTTATGTGTTGCGACTCCTTTCACCAGTGTCCATGTTGCCTGGCCTGTGCAGGTGCGGCCAAGGTCAGGGGAGAGGGAGCAGCCCCTTTTCACGGGTGTCGTTAATGTACTAATGTGGCCACTGACAGATGGAAAACAGCTGTGTCATCAAGAGTCTTGGTTCAGGCCCTGTATTTTGACTCTGGTCCCAGAGAGACCCTCCAAGGCAGCTGAGAGAGACTAAGAGACTCCCACTGTCATCACGTGAGACATCAGTCTGAGGCCAAAGAAGCAAAGAAGGTCCAGATCTCAACAGGAAGAATGAATCCCCACAGACTTTAAAGACACTTCAGGGGTTTCACTCCTAATCTCCAGCAGAGACTAATTTCATTTTCGACCTATTACATGCTGATTCCAAAAGTCGAGAGCAAAGATCAGAATTAAATAACCCCAGCTTTACAACACAGAGCACAGAGGGAGTGGGCTTTGGGTTCCACTCTTCGAGTAACCTTGAATTACGCTGAGAGTTTTAGGGCTGGAAGTGCCTCCTTAGACAGAGCAGAGGCCTTCATTACTCAACTGTTTAAGGAGCAAACAGCTCAAGAAGTTCAAGGGGCAAATTCAGTTCATGGCCAGGTGTAAAGGTGAGCACAATGGAAGTGCTCCTGCTTTTTCTCCTTCCTTTTCTCTTTGTTTTCTTAAAATCCCTGACTCCCTCCCTTCCCCTGCCTCCTTTTCTCCTCTACTCTAGCATTCTAACTTGACTCCATGACAAACTGAGAGTTTAGTTTTGTTTTATTGGTTGCTTTCCACACACCTTTTTTTTACCCCCTTGTGAAATGGAATCAAAGCACCCAGGGGAAACTGAACTAACTCTTCTCTCACTCTGTTAGAGAATGGGTAGGTGACTTAGACTTTCTCCTGCTCTAGTGCCTGCTGTTTATGGCACCTTGCCTGGCTTTCGTCTTGTTTTCTCACAAAATAGGAGCTCATTTCATCTTGTTTTCTAGACTCCAGATACAGAGGGAGAGCAACTGAAGGGAAGCAGTTCCATGTAATCTAGGGTCTTCATGAGTAGCTCTATCCAGCCATTGGGCTGTGCCATTCCTGTCTAGAAGAGCCCCCTGGGTTTGTGCCAGTCAGCAGACTCGACCCCAAGAAAACTAGGACAGAAGTAGGCGTCCTGTGATGTGTGCTCTGCTGTGTCACAGACACAGCACCTACAATACCTGAGGACCATGCCAGGCTTATGTGAGGGGACCTGGAAAGGTTAAGGACTCTCCTGGATGGGGCAGGAATGTCATTTTCTGTGGGGTGCTGCCACATTGAATTATCCAGATTCCCAACCCAGAAAGTGACATAGAAACAGCTGTCACAGAAGTCAGCTTTCCATTCAAGTCAGTCCATTTCCTTGTTTTGCTCTTCAGGGCCAAAGGAGCCCCCAGCCATCCGATTTTGACAGTGAGATCACTCTGAGTTTAATTCGGGCTAGTGTTGCAACGGAGCCTTGGGATGGTCATTTATGGGCACCCATGGTGGGTTGTTATTAGCTGTGTCTGGAGTCTTAGTTTTCATGAAAAAATTGCATGAGAAGTAAGGAAAAGAACAAAGGTTTCTTGCTTTTATTTTAAGACAGTCAATTTAAGAAGGGGGCATAAACAAATATAAAATAGCAAGTGACTCTATTCACAATGTATATGTGTGTCAAATCATTGTGTTGTACCCTTCAAATATCCTGCCATTTCATTTGTCAATTACGCCTCAGTAAAGCTGACAAGAAAAAAAGTGAGAGGGAAAACATGAAGAGATTCCAGAGAAAGGCAAATCCTTGCGTGCCCCCATTTCATGTTGGAATCCATTTGCTGTAATCCATAGGCAGTCTGTGAATCGCTCTCATGGCCTGTTTTTTTTCTGTGTAATGTTCTGGGTTATAAAGTCATTTTTTCACACTTCCTGTAAATAGTGGATGATCATTTTTTATTTTATTTTTAAGCGTTGTTTTAACATGTGGATAGATCATAAATGTACTTGCTGCATTCATTTTTTTAACAAGCGAATAAAGTTTTATAATTCATCTCCATGTGTCTTGCATTCTCTCCAGGCCCTTGTATACGTCACCTACCTTCCTCAAGCATAACTCATCACCCCGTGTGTCCTCAGTGGTGTCCAGGAGTAAAGGTGTTAGAAGAAAAAGTATGTGAAATGTCATGGAGAGTTAGGTGGGGGAGCCCCAAACCTAGTACAAATTCTGGAATAAATCTCCCCCAAAGGAACTTTTAAATTTCCATTAATGTGAATTATACATTTATTGTTTACTGATTCTTAATCTCAGGGATATTTTCATTTGGTTAAAAGGCAATACTAAAAAGACGACAGGAAGTTTAAGGAAATTCAAAAAGAAAAACAAATTCTACATTCTGTGGCTAAGTCCTTTGGTATTTTAATAACATAGAATTACCCAGATCCCAACAAGAGGACACACCTGCTGCTCTGTCCCTCCATTGTAAGGCACTCTGGTCAAATGAACAGGATGACTTGTGCTTTCATGGATGGGGAGATTGAGGAAGACAAGGGGACATAGAGAAAAGATATTATCAAATCATAACTATTAACATGGTGCCCACACTTCCTGTACCTTTGCTTTTCATCCCCCATTGGGCCGCACTGTCCTTTCCTCATTTTTTTGGTCCCCTTTTAAGATAGGGGCTAATATTAAGGCTTGTGGGGCCTCAGCTCTGATTCATCTGAGCTTGCTTCTGGTAACCTTGGAAGAGTATTACTACAAATAAAAGACTTAGGGATTGGAAAACTGGTCCAGCGTGACCCGATATCTTATCAAGCTAAATACACAGATTCTCAAGAGTCTGTTTACTACTGGTGACTTAGCCTTTTTCTGAATGCCCTTCTCAATGTGTCTTGCTGAGAAGAGGTTTTGTTGGCCATTTATATGACCAAGAGGTCATATAATAATGTCAGTTAGTAGGCATTTGATGCAGACTATGCTCAAACTAAAAGACTTTGAGAATGTTATTTCACCACTCCATTCCTAAGTTTCCTCATTTGCAAAATGAGATAATGATAATAGCAATCTTGCCTCCTCACTGGGCTCTTACAAGAGATAAGAGAGGTGGTTCAGGTAAAGCCCTTAGCACTTTGCCTGACAAGTGGTAGGCCCTCAGTTTTGCTGATAAAATACTTGGAAGGACCAGGTTTGCACTGAACTTGGATATTTCTCGGTGAGTGACTGTGAATCACACACAGATTCACGTGCATGTGTTGGTTATGTGGTGATTGTGTGAGCACGGCTAATGGAGTCCAAATGAAAGGGAATTTCACTCACCGGTCATTCTGGGTGTGTCCCCAAAAATGCCACTTGGGAGCTTTCTCAGGAGTCAACATGATGGAGTTCCTAGACCTTCTTTTTGCCCAGGTGACTCTTGTTCATTGTCCCTACCTCAGGTTTGATATTGATGACATAATAGCTCACAATGTGTTTGGGCCTGTGTAATGATTATCTGGTGAGTTTGAATGGAGCTCTGTGTTTTCAGAATTCCGGAGGAAGGAACATTGAAGGACAAATCCGGAATAGGGCCTGTCTTTTTGTTCTCACTTTATTAATTTAGAATTTTTGATCCTTTGAATAGGATCTACTTTAACTGTAACTTGTGAATTTTTCATGTGGAATTATTTGGTTAAGAGTAAAATAACAAATGAATTGGCTGAGAGACTTCTTGAAAGAAAAGACTTGTTTCAAGTTCCCTCAGGCCTTAGAAACGAGTGTTTACAGGCAACAAGCTACAAATGACAATAGAATTTTCTCTTGTGCTTCCCGAGGTGGTTTCCCGTAAAAGCTCTAGTAGGCAACACGGGATTGGCTTGATTGGAGCTACTTAATGTTTGAAGTAATAAAATTTTATTTCTTTAATGATACTTTATAATTTGGGCTTTTTTGTTATTGTTGAATCATTATAAATAAGTGGCACTGAAGTTTTACCAGCACTTAATTTAAGGTACTTTTACTATTGCCTGTACCTTTTCTAATGCTTTTGAATCAAGATATACCACTGAGTATGAGAATTAGAGTAATAGTTAATGGGTACTGATTTCTCACTCTGTACCCAGTGCACATGTTATGTTTTAAGTATTGAAACATAGATTAATGTATTTATTTATTTATGTATTAATTCATTCCCTGCAATCCGATGGGGCCAGTGACTCTTGCCTCTGTTTAAAACCTTAGGAAACTGAGGGACAGAGTGATGGAGGGCCTTGCCTCAGGTTATTTAGCTGATGAGTGGTAATCCCAGGCTTTGAATTCAGGCAGGCTGGCTCAAGGACGAGAGCTCAGAACTAACCTGTATGGGTTGGATCTCTAAGCAGGGTGGAGCCTGGAGTGAGTCCAGCAGATGCCTAGGACACTCTCAGGGCCATGCAAGGGCCCAGGGGTCACTCTCGCCATCACTAGTGGTTGAGCAGAGATTACTGCTGTGGCAAAGCACAAAGGTAAGGTGGACTTCACTCACGGGGAGGCACATGCTGTCCCAGGAAGCCCCAGGTTATGTGTGCCACTCGTCAAACCCTGCAGATTTTGACTTGCAGATACAGGGCACAAGAATGAAATTGGCACATGCTTTCAAAATCTTACCTTATGAAATAGAGAAGCTGCAGGAAGTGTCTACTCAGTACTAACTAACTAGTGAAAACCAAGAACATTTTTTTGCTTTGTCCATTGTAACTGAAGATGGATGTGTTGTTTTTGATTGTTCTGAAGTGGATTTTTTCACTGCTCTTGAACTTGAATTCACTTCCTGTTCACTTGGAGCAGTCCCAACACCCAGATGAGTGATGGCAAGGGAAACCACCTGGGTGGGCGTGGGGTGGGAGGGGCATGGTGGGGAGTTATGTTTGAGGATGTATCCTGTCACCAGCATGAAGAGGATCCAGTCATTGGAACAAGGTGGCGGAAAATGCCTGAGCTGCTCCTTGCCCCCAAAACGCAAGACAGAGCAGCATCTAAGCAGCTCAGTCTTGTCAAGGCTCCCATCCCCAACTTTTCTGTTTGGCAGCTGGTGACTGAAAGAGGCTGCCAAGGGCACATGCTTATTTGGTCAAGTCTCATCTCACACACCACAAGACCCTAGGGCCTGTGCTTACTGAATTAAAGTCTTTACCTGACCATGAACTAAGGGACAATAAGTTCTCTCCTTCCCTCTCATCTTTCAGAATTTTTATTCTGTTTCCCAGGAGGCAAGGAAAAACCTCTTTTGTTATCCAGCACCCTTCCATTTGTTTTCAGTAATTCTCATTGTACAGTAATTAGTCTTGCTGAATTGCTACATAAAAATGTAAGCTGTGGCTGTTCACTTTAAGGATTAGAAATCAGCTTCAGGTGAGTTCATGCAATTTCAGTAAAGACCCCTGAACTTTGAGGGGTGGGAGTAAGAGTCACCAGTCACCAGCACTGCTCTACGTTTGGAGGAGTTCTAGGTTTTAAATGAACTAAGCCATAGCTTATTGGGGTGCTTTAGGCTTTGGAAAGATTACTCCCTCGACAGATTTTTCTCTCTGCATTTACTTAGGCTTCTAGCCTTGGAGGGACCAACCACCTGTCCACCATCCTCCTCTAAACCCAGTGGAATTGCATGCCACGTTTTACTTTGGTGCCATGCCGGTTTCTCAGTGGGTTGGAACACTGGGTGACTAGCAGGTCTTCAGTGGAGGAGAGAAGTCAGGATATGTCTGCCCAGTTCCACCAGGGGAGGCTCATCTCAAACAGGGCTCATCTGTCCACCCCTGTAGTCCTTCAAGATGGGCTCCCTCTTTTCTCCTTTTCCTCATCTGTTTCCTCAGCCACTGTGGTCAGTCTCCTGTGCTTCACCTTTCTTTGTTTGTCCCTTTAACCTGCTCATACATCTGTACATTTTCCCTACATCCTGCAATTAAAACCATTTAGGGTGAGTTCTTTTTCTTTGACATGACCCTAACTGAGACATATACTAAATGTTTTAAATACATCATCTTGTTTTATACTGAGTCTAATACTGAGTCTATTCAAAATCCAGTAACTATGTATGGTCACTTATAGATCAGACAGCGTGCCAAGCACTGGGAGCTACCACAATAAGAGATGCCATCTTTGCCCTCATGGGCTATGGCCCAATGGTAATGTCAGTGGTGTTGATGCTGTTATTGTTCACACTTGACACAGGAGGAAACAAAGGCTTTGAAAGTTGAGTCACTTGTCCAAGGTCACGCAACTCAGATTCATCTGCCCGTAAGACCCACACTCTGCCCCGCTTCTCTGAGGTCAGCACTTTCTTTGGCCACCTGGGCGACCCTGCATCTGTGAGCTCTGAGATGCCATCAGACCTCTGCACTGCATTCTGGTGGCACTAATTCCTCCTGACTCAGTGTAAACCGATCAAAAGTATTCCCTCCCTTGCTACCTATTTTTCTTCCCCTGTTATCATTTAAAAAAATAATAATTTCTTCTTCTTTTCCTCTACTTCTCTTTTTACACAAGTACACTTTGTCCTTTCTTTAATTTTTACACATTAAAAATTTATAATTGCTTGGGCAGAATATGTGCATAGGAGAGAAATGTGTGCATGTGTGTGTGTGTGTGTGTGTGTGTATTTGTGAGAGAGAGAGAGATCAGCAAGGAAAGACAATATTCCTCATACCACACATACACACAGAGAATGGGACTATTCTACGCTTTATGTCCTGTTTGATTAAGTGGGAATTTAACCCCAGTATATATACAATTTCTGCCATTTTCGCCTCCCCAGTGCTCACTATGTTTTAATGCCCCCAACTCCTTGAAAATACTTTCCATATTGCATATTTTGCTTTTTGTTTTTACCTCCTAATAAAAAGCAAGAAATCCTGCTGAGGAGAAATGATTGCAAATCCCCAAAGGTTGGTGTTCCATTCTGAGCTCCAAGACGTGAGGATTGAGTGGATTTCAAAATTGGCTAAACTTCTGACTTGGCAAATGCTTGCATCCTCATTTGACAGCTTGGAAACTTCCATTTTCTTGGGCTTATAAATGAGGCTGCTGATTTGGTCTCC